AGCGAGCAATGTTTGTATACGTTCGTTGAACTGTTCGTCTATTGTATAGTTGAATGGTAGACGAACATTTTTATCGCTATGATAGGTGCTATAGTATTTTGTCAATCGAGGTCGTAGAGAGAGATGGACCAAAGTGCTATGGCCCAGCAACGATGCACGACGAAGACACCAAAGTCACTTCGCATGGGATAATATAAAGTGCATAAATTCTTCTTCCGCTATTTCTATATTCGTAATACTTAATATTAGATGCGACCTTAAACGGAGAAACTTCCGTTACTATCGAAATAAAATATGTTTTTTTTTTAGTTTTGAAACATTTCTATATCCATAGTGTTGCTTTGTTTATAACAAATCTTTAGTTACATTGATCGTAACAAAGCAGTCACGTATTTTTGGCACAAAAATCATATAATGGCATGCTATATCCTGACATAAAAACATACTCGCACATATTCGGTTGCATATATTATTACTTTCAGAAAAATAAATAAGCGATTTTTCTAGTATCCAGTCAGACAAACTGACTGCTACAAATTCCATATAATGCTACTGGTATACATGCTATTTTATAACAAGCCTATATTTGAAAAATATTCTTGCAACCAATTCGCTTTCGATTTGTGCCTAGAGACAAAAAGAATTTTTGTTATTCTTCTTCGTGGACGCACAAAACACACACAATAAATAAGCTTAGAAGTATATGTTTATGTTTTTATATCAAATATTTTTACAGGAATATTATATAATGTCTATAATAGCTTTCAATGTTTATAAAACGAAATCGAAGAATGCAAGATACGAATGAAAAAAGTTATTACACAGGTTTCTAGTTATAGAAATCCTATTCAACTGGTTGTGATACTGAAATATATCAATAAATAAAAGCTTTTTTCTGTTACAGGACATGTTTCGATTATTGCGAATACCTATAAAGCTGGAACGTTTCTGTACCAACAGAAAAGTATCCGGAGAATTCTGAAACTGTGATAAACTTGTACTCTATGGTTAGCTACTAAATTACTCTTTCACAGATTTAATAAATTTTATATTATATTCCGTACAATATGTCTCGTAAAATTCATTACCGGTATCATTGTTTATATTTAATCATAATTTTTATAAAGACGTATAATTACCACTTAACGAGAATGAAAAAGAAAAATTTAATTGTATTCCAAAGAACTTTATGATGTTTACTTCCATTTAGTAAGGTAATTAAGATAATTATGTAAAGAGTTTTGATGATAAATGATTTATTAAACAACCAAGTGAGTTTTTATATGTGTAACAAGGAGGATGTTTAATACTGAACTCCAATTGATTATAGCTTATAGAATTTTTTTTAGATTTATCTGACCTACTGGCACGGTTTTGTTCGTAAAAACACTTTAATTTCCTCATAACAATTTAGAAAAATGTCATTTAATACATTAGTAACAAAAAAATGATTTTTATAGCGCTTTTAAGATAGAGATCGTCATTTGACTATAATTTCACTCTCTCTTTTATAGACTCAATAATTTTAAATATAAATAATTGAGAATACGTGCACGCACTTATTTATTCGCTTTTTCTGCAATCTAAATAATGAATTTAACTAAAAAGAAATAAATCTCTCCAATTTACATCAGGAAGGATGGCATCCATATACAGCAATTAACATCATTAATAAAATACATAAACTAGTAAAACACTATTCGAAAAGCAGATAGTTTTCTTGCTTAACTTTATTTTCTTTTAAATGATTTTTATTCACATTTTTACATGTCAAAAGAATGTAATTAATGTAGATTAATAGAGCTTTTTAAGTAATAATAATAATAGAAAATTTTCTTTCGGGAATTTCAAAAATTCGACAAGACTTTTTATATGTTGGTTCGATTATAAAACATTTGAAAAATACCAAATTTCAATTATCTTATAATAAACGAAGATAATTTGATCTATCTATAAAACTTTTTACTTTAAAAGTAATAACTTCATTTTTTAAGCATTTTAAGGGAATTTTATAACATATAAAACATGATTTTAGGTCAACAGTAAATTTCACGTTGTGTGTGTTCGACATTTTGCTTTTTTTTACCGCTATTTTATCTTTACAGAGACCAGTTTCAAAAAGAAATATTTTTAAAAGATTTTTATTTATTTCCATAAAATGTAAAATTCTAACAAGTTTAAAAAGAATAATATAATTTTTTATAATTAATTATTTTAACTTTTGGTACTGAATTATTTTTTAAAATAAATTTATAAAATAAAAAATAATTTATAAACCGTCACGTTTCAAATAACAATTTTTTTTCTCTTAAATTTCAAATTATTCGAAAGAGGTTAGAGAACCTTTAACGAGTCCACTTCTCTCTTTGACCACCAATCAACTATATTCAGCAAACGTGCCACGAGAATGACTAACAACACATCTTTGGAGAAAATAACTGGAATTTAGAATATATTTTTAAGCATACAAATAGGAAATATTAGAAACTGAGGACGTAAACAATTTTTTCATTTGATAACTTCTTTTGGAAATATTCTATTCATTGTAACTTTCTATTCACGTCACAAAATCTAAATATCTTTACTGGTATTGTTTATTTATCCTTCGAAACAAAAATCTATTCGTTCCTTTACATAAAACATGCTTTTATATTGCAGTTGATATATTTCTAAATGTATAATTGAATTAAATTCAAACACGCTTATTAAATAAAAAGAATAGAATTTCCTCCAGAAATCTAATGGATTCTATAGATATCTTTATGCAATGTGTGCTTAATGAAAGCTGCCTAAGAGGTTGATGTTTAATATGTGAATAACATTAATTTTTATAAAAGTAAAATTAGAAAGTAAAAACTAATATCCAAGTCTAAAATTTAAAAGAACACAATATATAGATCCATCAGTAAAGATTGAATTTTCTGTATTTATCTTTCTTTCAATTCCTTCTTAGGATTTTCATCTTCTAGGCGGAATATTTTGAAACGAAATGTGAGAAACGGGCTTTAAAAGATTTAAATGTATTTAAACAAATGCAATTATAATATGAAAACAGTTATAGTTTACGTTGACTTTTGTTTTCACTATTTTTCAGTTTCCGTGCAAAGTAATATAATTAAGAAATTCTTTTAATATATTATTTATATGTTTTTCTTCTTAAAAATATTTAAAGTTATATAAAAAATTCAAAAAGAAATTCATAATCATGATTGATATTGAGCACTGTTTTCATTGCTTAGTCGAAAAGCTTTCATATTAAAAAAATCAATGCAATATGCGTGACTAAAAAAATCATATATACATATATATACTGTGTATGTATATATGCTTATAAAGTTTCTACTCTTTACAGTTTCTATGTAATTTGAAACAAAGGAATGACCTAACTTTTATACGATTCATCTTGTCACAATTGCAAATATGTTAAGTCAACACCTATCAAAAAAATGTTATAAGAGTGGATACCGTAAACAGAATATTGTAAATAATATTGATAAAGGGTAAGAATAACTCAGATTTCTTATTCGAATTTATTTCATTTTTATATACGGGAAAAAAAGTGTATAGAATAGCAAATGAAAACAACAGAGACGATTGAAAAACGTAAAGAAATTTATATAAATATACAATTTAAACAAGACAAGAATTTTAGGGAAAAAAAGGGATAGAAGCTGTGTCAAACAATTTTTTATGTATGTTTTTTTTATCATCTCATCGATTATCTAAGCTCTTGTAAGGTAAAAATCACAATATGTTATGCAAACAACGTTACTTGATTTAACAAAATAAAAAATAATGACTATTATTATTATTATTATTATATAAATAAAACATGAGTAAAAAAATTTACTGAATGTAATAAAACAAATAAATCTACTAAATAACTGAAATAAACAATCGACAGAAAGAGTAATTAAAGAATTTTCTCGACATGTAATTAATTTAATCAGGTAAAAGTCTTATGCATGGAATAACATATTCACTCCAAAATTTGATATCTTAATAATAAGAAAAATATTTTTGAATTTAGAATATATCGAGAATTCTGCACACATGTTAAAGTATACAGGAAAAAATAATAATAATAATAATCCACTAAAAAATAAAAAAAAAGTAGTTGATATAGAAAATCTATTCAAAATGTTTTCTTTTGACGAGTAGTTGAATATTTATTCCAAAATTTTAATACCAAAAATGCATCAATATTATTGAACATAAGAAATTCAATGCCGTTTGGATAACTTATATAAATATTATATAAATATACATAAAATTTTTACTTTATTTATAAAAATAATTTTTAAGTTTAAAACATTATAGATTCATTTATAAAAACTTTAGATTTGAATTTATTTATTATTTTCTTCCAGAAGAAAATTTAACTAAAGAAAGAAAAAAAAAAAGGAAGAAAAAAGTCAACCTGAAGGAAGAAAGAACTTAATATCGAATTAGGGAAATAAAAAGGAGGTTACGTAGGAGGTGTCATGGAAGAACATGCTACCTATTTTTCCTATTTTAAAACATCTAAAAATAATTATTATTATTCATATTTTCACTATATATAGTTTAATAATGAATTAAACTTTTTACCCTTTAAAACGCTAAAAAAAAGTGTAATTTATTATATAAAACGAATTAAATGAAATTCTATTTGTTTACACTTTATATTACATCCAAGATACGCGAAGAAAAATCTTAAATTACGTAAATTAATTATAATTATAATTTAATGTTACATACATCGAAATCCGAACGAATTAAAAATTGTTTTTTAAGTGTTAAATAATATTGTAATTTTATAACCGACATCAACAAGAAGCACGTATATTATTTGCGCAATTTTGAATTTAATTAATAAGAATTTTTATTGTTATACTTTTAAAAACCGAAATGAATATTAGTAAAAGAAACTGACAAGTAAACAGGGAGGAAACTGTTAAGTGTGTAGGATATAGAGAATATAAAGTGTGATTTAAAGGGAAAAAAAATATTAATCTTACCTGTAAGTTGTTGAAAGTCTACCTGCGCTTTGGTAACTCGTAGTAGTAAACAGAGAGCGAGTAATCCTTCGATCCACATGGTGGTTTATGCCAAACTAACCAGGGCCGATACCTAAAGCGGCTGACTGCAGCAACGACTACCCCTAGCGGAGAAAGTACAGGTTAATAAATTATCCGTTGTTTCGTGCTGTGACGTCGAGATATGCATTCATTGCCACATCTCACTTTATTTTAATTATCTAAATAGTTACTTAATTCAAAAATTAAGATATTTTATATACAGATAATATTATCATAAATTTAATTATTTTACTTAAAGTATTTTATATAAAAGATGGCTTAGAAAAGTATTAAACAATCCTTTACTCGAAAGTCATCGCTTATAAGTGACACGAAGAGTTTGATTGTCCACTACTTCATCAATATTTATGCAATCGTTAAGTCTCTAGAGTTAAGTGATGTGGAATTAAACCTTAACGTAATCATGGGGATTATATGTGATGGCCGAGACACGTTGAATGTTCAGCGTTCAATAAACATACGCCATCAAAGATGGATAGCACGATACTTTATCTATTACCCAGTTTTTGGTAAATGATGATGTGATGCAATGAGGAAAATTCCAATTCACTCAAGTAAAACATGTAATTTAATAAATAATATTATAATATATATGTGTGTGTGTGTGCGCGCGTGTGTCTGTATGTGTGTGTTTGTAGATTGTTGACGTAGACAAGAGAAGTAATTTAAAAATGAAAAAATAAATAAACTGTTCAATTTTTAAGGTTAATATATGCATAAATACAAAAAAAAAAGTTTAATTTTACTAAAATCAATTAAAAAACAATAAAAAATTTTAATGACAAGTTTAGTTTTTTATTGATTTTGTTTGCTTCGGTATGGATACTATTCAGTTATATGGGGTTTTCTTTAAGATTAGGAAGATGTAAACGTTATAGATTAATTTTTATGATTAATGTTCATAATTTAAAAAAAACGTTAAAGATTTTTGAGATAAAAAGAATAGTTTTTGTTAGAACTTGGCCATTGGCTATCCTCACGTATTCGATGAATATCTGGAATATTGTTTGAGGTGGAGATTTGAAATTTTCAGGATAGTTTTAGAGATTCAGCATACATTCGCGCATCAAGTTCGATAAAAATCAGCCAAAGGGTCAGAGAAAAATTTTAAAAAGAATACAATTTGATTACAATTTTATATATATTCGATTAATAATTTAACTTGGTTTCCGGATTCTTTAGATTAAAAAATGTTTGCGTATTTGAAATAGTTTTTTAGACAAAACAAAATAATTGAAAAATAATTTTTTTAAGAAAAAAAAACAAGAATATCAGATTTGTTTTTTGATTTGTTCAAATGACTATAATTATGCAGTTTTTTTAACATATGTAATAAATCAAAAAAGCATTTTTATATTGATTTATATTATAGAACTGCAATTTAAAATCAATTTATCTTTTTAAAAAATAAACACTTAAATGTTACAAATTAATTTCTAAACTGTTAATACGTATCAATATGAAAAGAAAAAGTATCCAATTCTTTGTATCTCGCTTTGTTTTTGTTATATTGTCTTTTAATGGTTTTGGATGCGTTGGAGGATTTAGTAATATTATTCTAGAGATAAAATGCTTTCGGTTTTTGTTTTCTATTGATATTGGACACTCGTAATAGAAGAAGTGTTATTTGTCTGTACAAACTACTTTTCTGACATAGAAACAGGAATATCCTGTCTAACGAGATCCGGTCCTATTAGTACAAACGAAAAGATACTCTATTGGTTCTGTTGGCCAATATTTTCCTCTTGTTTATCTGTTTGACGCTCGTTTTCGTCACAGTTTTTCTTAAACTTCATAAACTCTCCTGGCTGTTAAGATTGGCAGTTAAGATTACGACCCGACTTTTAAAAAAAGTAAAAAGAAATTGAAGAACATTTTTTTAGCGTTCATATTTCTGCACACTATTTTTTATTTACAGTAATGTATTTTTCTTAGAACGATCATTTTTATGATTTGTAGAGTTTTTGGCAACTTTATCATGTATCATTTTTATGGCAAATCATATCTTTATATTGAAAAAATAAATATAAAATGAATAAAATCAGCAAATATTAAAGAAAAAATTAAAATTTGATATTTTAGAAAAAAAAATCATAAAAACACGTTAGATTACTTTTAACTTTAAATTATTTTTATTTAAATTTCAGAGAAAAATTAAAAAGCAAGATACACCTATATATTATTACTGAATTTCTTCAGAAATTAAATATATATATATATTTTTTTTATATCTATTTTTATGAATTGTGAATTCAATCGTTTAGTGTGAAAGATTTAATTATTAAAATAAATTCTAATGTTCTTTCTTTATTAACAATGCATAAAAATTAACCAATAAAAAGACTAATAGAATAAAATGGTTAAGTTTATAAGAATTGATTTAAAAGCTGATTTACCTTTAAAATTACGCATGAATACACGAAAAGTATTAAATTTGGCATGGTGTAATACAATATCTATTCAAATATGACCTTCATATTTTATGTAGATTGTAATATATTTGTTTCATACTTATTCAGCTGTTATATATGGTAAAGGCATGTTTACTTAATGTACAGGCTGTATAGAATATTCTTGGGAGTTTAATCTTCTAATTTATTTATTAATAAATATTTGTTAAAAATTAAAATTTTGAATAAAATTAATATTTATATATTTAAAAGTTCAAATTTTATAATTTTCATTTAATATTTTGTTAATATTATAGTCTATTCTGGAACAAAATTTAAGGGTGAAAATTTACACATTACAATTTTTAATTCAAAGTAAAAGAAATTTATTGAGTAATTCAACTGAAAAGTAATCCAGCTTTATATATATACACACAGAATACAAATCCTAGTTTCAGTTACAAATGCAAAACGTACCAAATCTACAGAGTATTACAGAACGAGTCAATGGAGAATTGAAAACTTTCCCATAAGAGAGACAGAAACCTGTATAATTTGAGTTAAGTAAATTGTGAAATAAATGCCTCATTTAATACAACTTTTTCATGATATAAAATAAAAATTCAGAAATGATTTTTTTAAACGCATCTATCTTATTAAATATNGTTTAGTGTGAAAGATTTAATTATTAAAATAAATTCTAATGTTCTTTCTTTATTAACAATGCATAAAAATTAACCAATAAAAAGACTAATAGAATAAAATGGTTAAGTTTATAAGAATTGATTTAAAAGCTGATTTACCTTTAAAATTACGCATGAATACACGAAAAGTATTAAATTCACATTTTTGGCATGGTGTAATACAATATCTATTCAAATATGACCTTCATATTTTATGTAGATTGTAATATATTTGTTTCATACTTATTCAGCTGTTATATATGGTAAAGGCATGTTTACTTAATGTACAGGCTGTATAGAATATTCTTGGGAGTTTAATCTTCTAATTTATTTATTAATAAATATTTGTTAAAAATTAAAATTTTGAATAAAATTAATATTTATATATTTAAAAGTTCAAATTTTATAATTTTCATTTAATATTTTGTTAATATTATAGTCTATTCTGGAACAAAATTTAAGGGTGAAAATTTACACATTACAATTTTTAATTCAAAGTAAAAGAAATTTATTGAGTAATTCAACTGAAAAGTAATCCAGCTTTATATATATACACACAGAATACAAATCCTAGTTTCAGTTACAAATGCAAAACGTACCAAATCTACAGAGTATTACAGAACGAGTCAATGGAGAATTGAAAACTTTCCCATAAGAGAGACAGAAACCTGTATAATTTGAGTTAAGTAAATTGTGAAATAAATGCCTCATTTAATACAACTTTTTCATGATATAAAATAAAAATTCAGAAATGATTTTTTTAAACGCATCTATCTTATTAAATATATATTAAGATTTTGTTTATACTGAATTTTGGATTTGAGGTCAATTTTTTTTTTATAGAGATAACATATTGGTTAGAGAGATCGGCATGTGGTGTATCTAGAATGTAAATTTAACATTTCTGTCTACATCTCTATAAAAATTGATATTTTTCAAAACAAAATATATTTCATATTTATAGTAAAAAATAAAAATATGAAAAATATACTCTCCTCCATAATAATAACTATTCTATGTTTTATGCACGAATTTTTATTTTAGAAAAGTCGACATCTTTGGAATCTTTTATTTAAAAGGTAAAACTTTTAAATATTCTAAATCATTAATAAATTAAAATTTTCATTAAAAGGAGTATTTGTTAATAAGATTTTGTGGTAGTTTATTAATAAAAAAAAATTAATTGATTTAAACGGTTTGCTAAAATTGAAAAATAATAATAATTATATCGATAATTGTTTACAACATTTTAAATTAAAGTTTTTAAAGAATTTTAATTTAACTTTTAAATTTAAACAATTGAATAAAAAGAAGAAACAATTTATTATAAACTCAAACATTCTAAATTTAAAAGTTTTCAGAAAAGAATGGATTTCAGTGAGATTTTCTTTATCATTTTTTAAGTTAAGATAATCAATTACTAAATTTATTTACAATTATAATCGGCTTATTATAAAGTATTAACTCTATTAATAAAATATTTTTTAAATAAAAATTTTATGATTTTCTAAAGATGATGAATTTCCCTCGTAGAAATTGTTCCTACATTGAAAAAGAGTGTAGAATTACTTAAGTCTTTTGACGCTACAGGAAAAAACTAACGTTTTTGTTTTTGAAGATGCTATTTGACCCATCCTACCGAAAAATAGTTACCATAGCAACGTGTTAAGGTAACTTAAAATTGACTTCATGGCATTAACGCAAATGTATTGAAATATTTTAGAAGTAAGAGAAAAAATTTACTTATAACTTTATTACTAGATGGAAGAGAAAAATTTTTATCATAAATTCTATAAAGTTGTGAGTTTGGAAAAGTTAATCGCTGCGATAGATTCTACTAAACTCTATTTAACAAAAAACAGAAAAAAATATTCTCTATACGATGTACACTTTTCTACAAAACCGTTAAGTGTTAAGTTTGAAATGAAGATTTGTATACAATTAAGATGAGATACAAAATTGCCGTTATATATTAATAATAAAGTGAAA